TCATAGATAGGCCCTCTGCACAGATAATAAATAAATATGGGGACAAAGGATCCCCCTGCCTTATTCCACGCGTGGGTATAATTGGATCACACTTCGAACCATTCACCTGAATATTATATGAGACAGAGGTTACACACTTCATAATCACCTCCACCCAACCAGCATGAAAACCCAGCGCTAACATCATCTTTCGCAAGAAAGACCATTCAACCCGATCATATGCTTTCGCCATATCTAGTTTTAGAGCACTCCATCCCCCCACTCCACATTGCTTCCTATTCAGAAAATGTCCCACTTCTGCAGCTAATAATATATTATCCGTTATTATCCGCTTTGTGACTCAGATATTACTCCGTCCATTAATGGCTTCATTCTGTTAGCCAACATTTTTGCCATAACTCTATAGACCACATTACTGAGGGCTATAGGCCGTAAGTCAGTGACATATTCCGGGGTTTTGTTTTTCGGGATTAGAACAATATCAGTCTCAGTCAAACCAGGCGGGAAGTCACAGGTTTCAACACAGTTTATTATAAAGGTAGCCACATCACCCCCAACCACATCCCAAAAATGTTGATAAAAGCCCGGATTCATTCCATCCGGGCCCGGTGCCTTGTCCGGGAACATCGCAAATAAAGCACATTTAACCTCATCAAGTTCAAACGGGCGCAATAATGACTCATTCTGTGCCTGCGTAATACGCAGGATAATTCCCTCAAAAAACTCCTCCCCTGTTCCCGGGGTTCCCGCACAAAAGATACCATTATAGTACTGCAGAATAATATTTTTCATAGGATCCCCCTCAACCCAAACCCCATTATCATTCATCAATCTAGAAATAGTATTCTTCTTTTTTCGGTGAGAGGCATACCTGTGAAAAAACTTCGTATTAGCGTCCGCCTCCTTCAGCCAATGTTGTTTGGCTCTCTGCCTCCAGTAGGCATCCTCCTGAGCTTCAGTACAGCTTAACAGCTGCTCTAGACGCCGGAACTCAGCTAGGGAAGCCGGGTCAGTATGCCCCCTCAGTCGGTGCTGCTCTCTTGTGAGTTCCTTAATTCGTTTTCCGTACTTATGATGCCGGTCTCCACCCCATCGTGTTAACCGGGTCCCACAGTACTGAATGCAGTTCTGCAATCCCTGGCCCCTCCCCTCCTGCCAAGACTGCTCTACCACATTCTTACACCCTTCATCGTGCAACCAGGCCATCTCAAATCGAAATCCTCTCCTACGAGGCCCAAGACTAGTATAATCTTGGATCCCCAAAAAGAGAGCCGAATGATCGGACTTCCGGGTTCTCAGATTCATCACCTTTGCCCCCATCACCATACTCCGCCACTCCTCCGTCACTAATACTTTATCAAGCATCTCCTCCATCCAGTTTACTGTCCCCTTCCCCTTCTCCCATGTGTACGGATAGCCAACCATAGGCAACTAAGCAAGCCCACAATCCTCAATAGCTTCCTCAAAACCGCGTAGGAGACTGTTCGGATGCGGATTTCCCCCTCTCTTCTCATTCTGATATAATAGATCATTGAAATCTCCAATAACAACCCACGGGAGATTTGACCTACCCGAAAGCGTTCTCAGAAGATCCCAAGACTCAGTGCGTCTCGTTTGTTCAGAAAACCCATAATATCCCGTCATTCGCCATTCAGGAAAGCCTGCAATAGTTACCCCAACATCAACATAGTTCGTTGAGTAACTGATTAGTCGTGCCGTACAATTCTTCTTCCACGGCAATGCTATACCACCACTTAAACCATCACTGTCAACACAAAACAGTCCTTCATAGCCAATCTTAACACGTAACCGTTCCGCATGATCTCGTGCCACTTTAGTCTCCATAAGAAATACAAAGTCGGGTTGCTTTTTGGACACCATGTCCACAATCTCCCGAACTGTCCGTGGATTACCCAAGCCACGGCAGTTCCAACTTAAAGTACTCATTGATCCGGGCGGGTCTGGGAACCAGTACCCGCCTGCTGCAAGTTTTTTGAGAACTCGGTCATGACAATATCCTCCCCCTCACCCCTCCGTCTCTCACTACCCATCTCCCCCCGGCGCCGCTTAGCCACCGCCACCACCTCTCCCTCAACCACCCCCTCAGCCCGATCTGTGCTCCCCGAAACCCGCCCCTCCTCCGGCCGGACGACCTGCGGCTTCCGTCCCATGGCCTGCCGACCCGTCGGCAACAACCAACTACCCCCCACCGGCCTAGGGCCACGGTTCCCACCCGCCCGTAGCTCCGGGCCATACAAATACTCCTCCATCGGCATCCTCGAGTCCCTTGCCCCACGACAAAATTGGTATGAGTGGCCTAGCATCCCGCAAAAATAACAATACGTATGGAGACGTTCATACTTAAACGTGACCCAACAACTCGTCTTATCACGTTTTATAAAGTTCATCCATCTTTTCAAGGGCTTGTCCACAGGCAGCGAAACCCTAATACGATGATACATCTTCCACGGGGCATTGTCAAAACGATCATCATACTTCACAAACGTACCCAAGAAATTTCCTATCTGTTCCAGAATCCGGCTAGACGAGTATCCATTCGGCACACCATGCAGCTGTACCCATAAGTCCACCGTATCCAACACTACATCAATCGGCATTACTCCGTTAGGGACCTGCTTACACACCAGCGTACCATTATCGAAAGACCAGGGACCCTCATTCAGGACGCGTTCCATGTCTGTTATATGATGAAAAACAAACAAAAAACGACCCGGCTCAACCTCCGTTGCCTCAACCCCGCTCACCGGCTGCCATACCGATGCCAGAACCTGACTCATAAATTCCAACCTGACTAGCTTTCGTGTCAAGAATCTTCCCACCACCCCCCAGCTCTCCGCCACCTCGCTGGCCACCCCCTCGGCGTCGTCCCCAACATCCGGCAAGAAAGCCGTGGCTTCCTCCTCAAGAACGATGTCGGCCCACCTGGCCGTTAGGCCCTCCACATCTTGTCCAGTCGTCGACGCCATCTAGAATGCAGCGACGTGCGTCGAATCTTGCTATCGCGATCGGAAAAATAGTCCGCAAGAAACGTCGAAGAAGCGACCGAAGAACCCTAGAAACCCTAGGTAGGAATAACTCCATTAATTCAATAAATGTAATCCTTTGTTATGAGTGAGTAAAAAATTAGCTATTTTATTTTTCAAATGTTGTGCTTTTTTTTTTTTTTTTTTTTAAGTAAAAGATGTTGTGGCTATTTTATATTTAAGCTAGTAATAATAATAATGTTGGTAATTAATTATAACATTAATTATTTTCCAACCATATAGCTTTATTATATGTAAGATTTGTGAATTGAGACTCCGCCCATCCCATTTTAAGAAAAAACAATTATCAATATTAATCAAGCAATAAGCATTGTGATATAAAGAGGTAAAGATTATGGAGTAAAACCAATAGCAATCTATCATTGCTCTAAAAAAAATAATGATTTCCATTCTTCATAACTATCAAATGTTTCTTCTCCCATCATAAATCATATATATTAATGTTTCTATTAATAATGGAATACATTAATATTTATTTAATCAATTGCCGGCTTTATCCATTAAAATAATCTCAATTTTTTGACCAAAAAGTAAAATTTTCAATATGTGCATCAACAAAATTGAAACATGCAATGCACTTCGTTACCTATGATATGTGGTTAGTTCTAATATCAAATTAAAGCATGTGTTCTGCCTTAACTAACTAAAATTTTAAGTAGGGTGTATTCAATCATGACTTTTGTAGACTTTTAAGGATAGATTTTAATAAACTTTTATTCACCTTTATAGAGTCGTTCAAAATTTTTTAAAACTTTATAAGACTCTATAAAAAACATTCATAAACTTTTATCGACTTTTTTATTTTAAAAAATCTACAAAATTCATTGAAATTCTAAATTGAATACGTCCTTACATACTTTCAATGATTTCGATTGTTATCATTTACAATTTTCATATAGAACATGTTATAATATATCATAATATTCTTCTTATTATATAGTTCTTCACACACATCAACATTATTATTTTTATTCATAGGATAATAAAAAATCAAAATATTCAAGCAATAATGAATTAAAAATAATATTATTTCAAATTTTTAGAGGAAGATTGTAAAGTTTAGGAGAGAAAAATATTGGTAGAGTTTAGGTATGAAGAAAATATAGGATGATGAAGAAAAAATAATTTATTGAATTTAGGTATAAGGTTTATAAAGTTTAAATAGAGAGAGAGAAAAAATAGAGTTTAAATAGAAAGAGAAAACCTTCAACTGAGTTGGTAGAAAGAAATTTTGAAATCTTGGGATTGAGGGTTGGATTTCAAACTATTTTTATTTGAGAATGAAAAGTTTGCAAAAATCCTAAAATTAAAAAGTCTACACAAATTCATAACTTTTTGAATAACACATGACTTTTAAAGACTAAGAGTCCTAATCGAATATTACATGACTTTTAAAGACTCTTTAAAAATCTTGATTAAATACTACCTTACTTTTAAAGACTCCAAGTTTGAATTGAATATCTCCAAACTTTTAAAGTTAATAAAAGTCTTTAAAAGTTTATAAAAGTCATGATTGAATACACCCTTAGCTTATAAGTTAATAACTAGACTGCATATTTGTTTTTATATATTATTATATGGTCAACAGACCATTGTAGCCAAAGTTGGAATATGAGAGGGCAACCACATAATATGGTGATATCTGGTTTAAGCATATCTTTTGTATTTTCATTTGAATTGATTTTTCTGTCAGCATTAAAAGAATTTCAATTTTGGGCGCCGCTTAATAAGTTAACGTAAAATTTCTAAAAATGAGCGTCGACCATATATTCTAGGGGAAGTGGAAAACTTGATGGTAACATTGGAACATGTAGCTTATGAGTACCTTTCATCAACTACAATTATTGTTTACGGACTTATCATCTCCCCAGCTATAAGAGCCACAGGACTATTTATCAATAATAAACAAATAAGGCACAACTGGACGATAAAGTTTGAATTCATACATATTTAACGTAGATAGGACGTCCTGGGAGATATAGATGCATGCAGACCCAGGCCAGGCCGCCAATCACTGCCTAGACTCTGTTCTGTATGCCATCAATGAGTGGAGCATATATATCATCCATATAGCATATAAATACAATTTCATTGCCAGCATGTTTATTAACTTTTATCTATAACATCTTCAATCAATAATTATGGAAAAACTATCTGCCGACCCTGTTGCAGCATGTTTATTAATGGTGGTGGTCTTCCTGTCAGCCTCCGCTATTGCCCAGACGACAACCAACGCTCCCATTGCTCGTCCAGGTTGCCCCACCCACTGCGGAAACTTGACGGTTCCCTACCCATTCGGAATCGGGATAGGAAGTCAATGTGCACTTGATCCCGGATTCGAGATAACCTGCGACTTTGTCCATAACATATCAGAAACCCAGATTTCGTTTTTGCAGCCCCCAAGGATACCAACCAATTGCTACGACTCCAAAGGAGCATTGGTTCGTAAGCCGCCATTTCAAAACTCAACTTATTGGCCACTGCTCATACAAAGAAATTATCACTACAGCCTCTCCCCTGTAAACAAGATAACAACTGTTGGCTGTGACGATACTCTGGTGATATCTGACGGAACCAATATTACATCCACATGCACTTCCACATGTTCTAATGCCTCTCAAGTGCCGGACAATGGGACTTGTTCGGGTATCGGCTGCTGCCAATTACCTTTACCAAAAGGTTTGAACAAGGTCTACAATGTTAGCACGGTCAGTGCCTCGAATCACACAAGGGTCTGGTCCTTCAATCCCTGCTCCTACACGTTTCTTGGAGACACGAGTCGGTTCAGATTCCTCGGTGCATCTGATTTGAGAAATCCTAATTTCGCACTGAGGGTTTCTGAAACGGTTCCAGTGGTTCACGACTGGGCAATTGGAGACTTGAGTTGCAAATATGCCCAAAGCAGTAGTGGATATGCATGCCAAGCCAATAGCCATTGCGTAGATTCCGACACGGGATATGGAGGTTATCGTTGCGAATGCAATTATGGTTATGAAGGCAACCCGTATCTCACTCAAGGCTGTATCGGTACGTAATTTTATATATATATATATATAGAATCGCACTCAGGTGCGAATGCTTGGCCAAATAGGAATGGATTCTGTCCATCCACGTGTCCAGATCTAATGGATGAGAAACACTGATTTTTTAAAAAAACGCGGTGGCATTTTCGTAAATAATTGAACATCGAAGTGCAAGTAAAATGTATTACAAGTGCATGTAAAATGTATTATAGGTGCAAGTAAAAATTTACACTGAGCATCAATACTTAGTTGCACCTATAGTTCTAACTAGTTGCACACATAGTTATAAATAGTTGCACCCAGGTGTATGAATGTTTGCGAGTGGTTTTCAGGGGTATTACTATCCGCTGAACTCAGATCAATGAATGTTAACAAGGCAAAATTACATGAACTTATAGGTGAAAGTAGGTGCACCTATAGTAGTTGCACCTATAGTTATAAATAGTTGCACATATAGTTATAAACACACCTAAGTGCATGAATGTTTGCGGAAAGTGAATGCTAACAAGGCAAAATTACATGCACTTATAGGTGTAAGTAGGTGCACTTGTAAGTAATTTTACTTGCACTTCAATGTTCAATTATTTACGAAAATGCCACTGCGTTTTTTTTTTAAGTTATTAGATCTGGACACGTGTCGCGCGCTGATTCGTTCGCATTTCTCTCCTGAACACTTATTCGCACCTGAGTGCATCCCTCTCTCTCTCTCTCTCTCTCTCTCTCTATATATATATATATATATATATATATATATATATATATATATATTAGATTATAGATTTGGAATTAGGGGTGAATTGACCTTAATTTGCGAACCTATGAATTACTAAAGGATTGCAGTGCAATTAGTACATGGTTGCACTGCATCATATCATATTCGATTGCATCGTAAAGGTCCTCCAAGTATATCTGGGCTCGTCACGTTGCAACCATGTAGTAATTGCGGTGCAATCCTTCAATAGTTCGCAAGTTAAAGCTATATATATATATATATATATATATATATATATATATATATATATATATATATATATATATATATTCTCCTTAATCATCATACTATAGAACATAGTTTACCTTGCGAAGTGGACCAAATATTTAAAGTTCATTTCTATTTTTCCTGTATAATGTTAAAAATGAATTTTCAACATATTAAAATGAACATTTATCAATTGGCGGGTCTATATTGGAGTGTTTACCAATGGCCCGTAATATAATTTGCATATTCTTCTTTTGGAATATTTTGTTTGTTATGGAATAGAATTTCTTATCCCAAAATTCATTTGGTAAATCAAATATATTGTTAAAATTATAAGAGCATCCTCAATAGTGTGAAGATTTTGAGGAGATTTTACATGTGTGATTAGGAAAGAGAAAATGAGAGGGGAGAAAAAAAAAAACTAAACTAAAATCTGAAAATTATTAAAAATAAAAAAAAATTACGCGCCCCCTTAGCGAGAGAATTACGCCTTACATGCGTGAGGCACAACTCTCATTCTCCATTGGTGAGACCCACTCACCTGCAAAATCTTCATTTTTACAAGACCATCTCTCTCTCTCCCCCCAACTTTCTTAAAATATGTTCCAAAGTCCCCTTTTGGGAATGCTCTAAAGGTAGTGTATTACCAATGACAAACACAACTTAACTAAGAAAAGTGCATATTACTCCAAAAAAAAAAAAAAAAAAAAAAAAAAAAAAAAAAAAAAACTAAGAAAAGTACATTTCCTTTCGGACTCATAAAATAAAGATAACTTATCATCTCTTACCACATCAAAAAGTAAAAATGAAGAGTAAAAATTAGGAGGTCATGTAGCAGAACTCCGTAACTAATGAATTTGACTCACAGATATAATGATAATAATGGGTTAGAGTGCCCGCATGGGTAGCTCAACTAGTCATAGAGGTGAAACTTTGGAATAATGACCAGGGATTGAGTCTAACCAGTGGCAGTGTGGGAGCAACCTCTCAAAGTGAGGGGGGCTCCTTGGCGCAGTGAGCACCGGTCTAGCCTCTGTGGTTCATGTTCATCCTCCCAAATGCTCTGTTGGGGGGGGGGGGGGGGGGGCTTAGGGTTGGGGTTCAGCCTTTTGGAATAATAATGGGCTCACCAGTGGCAGTGTGGGAGCAACCTCTCAAAGTGAGGGGGGCTCCTTGTGCGCAGTGAGCACCGGTCTAGCCTCTGTGGTTCATGTTCATCCTCCCAAATGCTCTGTCGGGGGGGGGGCCTTAGGGTTGGGGTTTAGCCTTTTGGAATAATAATGGGCTAGGGTGAGGGATTAATAGAGTCTCAAATATGGCAATTTATATTATGGACCAAGGTCCACATAATTTTTATGAACCCTATATCGAAACGACGAGGTACAGAATTCATACTTGTAAGGTATACAATTTTGTAACACAAGGCACAGAAAATCACAACACTGGACACGGCACATACACATCTTATATATTTACTTATTTTTCAAATCTGATTTAGATACATAATTTGTGTTCAGAGACACAAAATTTCACACCACAAAAAGTAGAAATTCATAACATAACACGAAATTACTAATTTGTTTCAGGTAAAGAATTTATATTATTAAGGTATAGAATGTCATAATATAAAATGTTGGTCTCGGTAGTGTTAAACGAGAGTCTAGAGGGGGTAAATAGACTCTACTCAATTTTTGCAAATAGCTCCTTTCGGATGTTATGCGCAACGGAAATGAATAGATATGTTTTAGATAATCAAACTTTGCACGGTTTCGGTTATAAAGGATTAGGGTTTGGTCTATATGAATGCAATGCACGAAAGATAAGTTGCTAGAAGTAAAGAGAGATGGAGATGAGATTTTTATAGTGGTTCGGCTATTAACGAAGCCTACTCCACTCTTCTTTCATCTCATGAAAGGGTTTGCACTATCACCCCTAGTACAAACTACTCAAGCTAGATTCCTTGATCACTAAGTCGGACAGCTACTTGGAAGGTTTTTCGACTCCTTGAGTTTACTCCGCCTCTATCAACGTCTTCTTCAGAGTTGAGGGTTGGAAAGAATTAATGTATTTCTCCAACAAGTTGAAGTCTTGACTGCTGCTAACGGATGGATCTTCACGTATATAAAATGCAAGACTTCTTCAAGGTTGTGAAGTACGAAATCTGGATATGCTTCTTTGAAAACTTTACAACTCACACTGGTTAAGAAAAGCTTTTGGATGATCTTGTATGAAGAGCTTTTCTTGAGATGAAATCAATTAAACAACCAGCCTCTTCTTCAATGGTGAAGAGGGGTATTTATAGGTGAGGAAAAATTCATCCGTTGGAGGGAGATGAAATTTCAAACCTATTAACCAGCGTGTAATAATCACTGAGCATAGAGCATTTAATGCGGTTGTACTGTTTTAGCCGTTGGTGTCCTTTTTCAATGACAAGAAGTACCAATCATTTAATGCTCCTTAATTATTGCGTAGATCATTCCCATGACTCCTTTTGTCTAGGATGATTGCTCAGTGTTGAGACATAAACCAACATTCTTCATGTATTAAAGTTGTCTATTCAAGTCTGACTTAGACTTGTTGTCTCATCAAAAGTTACACGAAAGATTGTCCTTATTTTTCATTTTTCATTCCAGTCAAATGATTTTCCTTATCATTTGATGATTGTACGAGAGTTAGGCCCTTCCATCTTTCGGTCTAAGTTGTTCTCTCGTCTTTCTCTTGATCTTCATATCTTCAGGTAGACCTATTGTACTAAACACAACTCAAATTCGTGTAGATGCATTGCATAATCCGAATCACATGGTGAGTTGGAACTCCTTTCGAATAACTCGAAAGAGCTAAGATAAAGAAAGTTAAAAGAGGGGTCTACAATCCTAGCAAGATTGGTATCATCAAAATATAATTACACTTGTTCCTAACACAAAACACAAAAACTCATAACATAAGATACATAAACATGCACTAGGGTCCAAAGTGCATTGTGAATCCTGATCCATAGTATAAGGATTGCTCAAATATAGTGATAAAAAAACTAACAGGGCGTTTGGTTGATGGGAATTTAAATTCCCCTCCCACCTAATTTCAAAGGCCACAAAATTCCCTAGTTTGGTTGGAAGGAATTGCAATTTCTCCATTTTCATGGAATTAAAATCTCATGTCCCATTCAAAAAAAAACTCATGTCCCCCCGGGATTTTAATTCCTAGAATTTTAGAAAAAAAAAAAAAAGATAGTGATGACTAATGAGACAAAATTACCTCTCCCTTTTTTTAACCTAAAAATTAATGCATGACCTTCCCTATGTAGTTGCGTATTAATTTTTATGAATTTATTTTTTTTTTTGGATCTGAGCTTATGAAGCTTAACATTTGATGAAGTATTTGCATGAAAATTAATTACAATATATCTAGTTCAAGAGATACGGTAGATGACTAATATTTTATATTTTTTTGGTGTTTGTATATGCAAATGGGTCCAAGAAATACTTGTCATTTAATAATAATAATAATAATAATAATAATAATAATAATGGGCATTTTGGACTTTATACTACTCATTCCTTTTCAATCCCCATGTATACCAAACATTGAAATTGCAATTCCCAATAATTCTATTCCTGTAAACCAAACACTGGAATTTAAATCCCACTTTATTCTCAGTAATTCATCTCCCATGAAATTGCAATTCATTTCCCACGTAATTCTCTCCCTCTAACCAAACGTTCCGTTACATGTTGAATAATAATGTTTGATTTGTATTAGAGCGGTCAATTGGAAACTTGAGTTGCAAGGAAGCCCAAAATAGTAGTGGATACGCATGTCAAGCGAATAGCAATTGCGTAGATTCAGGCACAGGAAAGGAAGGTTACTTGTGCCACTGTAATGATGGTTATGAAGGCAATCCATATCAAAGTCCAGGTTGCACTGGTAAGTTATCAAATCAATAAGTACTATTTAATTTATATTTAGACCAACATTCATTTGTTGAGGGTTTTTTTTTTTTTTTTTTTGAGTTTTTAGGTTGTTAAATAGAAGAGATGAGAGAGGAAAATGTGAGAAAAAGAAAAAGAAATAAAAAATAAAAAAACAAGTCTAACAAGTATAAAAAAAAATAAAATTAAAAAGGTTATTTTACCTACCTAACCTGATGGTGTGCACGCACCCAATATATTAGGTGCTTTAGGTGCGCCTCATGCACACCAGGAGGCACTTTTGTTTTATGCAGTCCACCTAGAAGACAAAAACCAATACCTTTACAAGAACATAATACCTTCTCTCCTTTTTCTCTCTTGTCCACCATTCAAACCTGCAAAAACCTTCCAAAATTCACCTGTTGGGGATGCTATTCAACCTGCCATGCCCTTGAGGCCTTGAAACACTGCCCGTTGTGTATTCCGTTCTAGCTTCTTTTTTTTTTTTTTTTTGAAAAGCTAGTATTTATTTGCAAAACTTGTTGGAAATGTGCAAAAAAGACATTTTAAGTGGTTATTTTCTGGTATAAATATAGTAGAGTTTACTTTAATTTTGAGTCAAGTCATAGTGGATTCAAGTTCTCCTAAATAAGACGAAGAAATTGATATGTTGTACTCTCAAAACAAATATAATATTGGTTGAATAAAAAATTGAGTCAAAGTATAACCATTTGAGTTAAAAATGATGATGGAGAGGCATATAATAAGCATTTGTCCCACATTAAAAATAGGCATGCTAGATCATGAGGTTTGCGAACTGTTATCCAATCTTTTTTTTTTTTTTTTTTTTCTGGCTTGGCTACACAACACAGAAAGAGAGAAACTTGTGTTACCTTTGTTCTTGTTTGTCGGATTTAATCGTTGAGTTCCCGTAACATTTTCATTTTTGTCCTTGTATTTAGGAATTATTTTATTAGTATTCCAACTAAACTAGCATTGATCTATATATGTGGTATGAGTGATGAGTTCAATTGAATAAGTATGCTCTCATGCAAGTATTTGTTTTATTGTTAGTAAATTAATTTTTTTTTTTTTTATTGGAGATGTTATTGTAAAGAAAATAAGGATACAATAATTGTGGGTTTTCATACGTTCCAGATATTGATGAATGCAAAAATTCAACGAATGCATGTCAACTGGGATGCATCAACATTCCAGGGGGCTTTAAGTGCACTTGTCTTGAAGGGTACTACGGCGATGGTAGAAAAGATGGTCAGGGATGTCTTCTCTTGAATAAAAATTCAGTTTTCCCATGGTTTAAATTCTCTCTAGGTAATGAGTTATATTTAGTTCTTACTGCATTTTCATTTGTTGTTTTAAGAAATGGTATGAACGTGTACTGATGGTCAGTGGATCGGATCTCACTACTCTACCATCAATACAGGGACGGTGTTGGGAATTTTCGCCTTGGTTGCAATGGCTACTTCACTATGCTGTATCATCATGAAAAGAAATAGTGCTAAAACAAGGCTCAAGTTCTTTGAACAAAATGGTGGTTTTTTACTGAAACAAAAAGTCACCAGAAGTGATGAAGGTAGTGATGGCACAGACGAGACTAAAATATTTTCTGCCAAAGAGCTCAAGGAAGCTACTAACAATTATGCTCAAGACATGATTTTAGGTCGAGGCGGAAATGGCATTGTATTTAAAGGAATCTTACCAAATATGCTCCAAGTTGCAATTAAAAGATCCAAAACAGTGGATGACACTCAAATTGAGCAGTTCATCAATGAGGTGGTTATTCTTTCCCGAATCAATCATCGCCATGTTGTCAAATTCTTGGGGTGTTGTTTGGAAGCTGAAGTTCCTTTGCTAGTATATGAATGTATCTCTAATGGAACTCTTCATCACCATATCCACCGCGAAACAGGTGCATCGGGTTGGTTGTCATGGGAAAATCGTTTGAGAATTGCAATTGAAGCTGCTGGAGCACTTGCTTATCTTCACTCTGCTGCATCCATGCCTATAATCCACAGGGACGTCAAGTCAACCAACATATTGATAGACGAAAACTATACTGCAAAGATATCTGATTTCGGAGCTTCCAGGTTAGTCCCTTTGGATCGTACACATGTGGCAACACTAGTCCAAGGAACACTTGGTTATTTGGATCCAGAATACTTCCAAACAAGTCGATTGACAGAAAAGAGTGATGTATACAGTTTTGGAGTAGTCTTGGCCGAACTTCTAACAGAAAGGAAACCTGTGTCACCTTATTTGAGTGACGATGAGGATCGAAACTTATCTGCATTTTTTGTTCGATCCATGAATGAGAATAGACTGTTTCAGATTCTTGTGCCGAGGCTAGTGAAGGAGGGGACACTGGACCAACTTCAAAGAATTGCAGAACTTGTGAAAAGATGCCTTCAACTTAATGGAGAAGATAGACCTAAAATGAAAGAAGTAGTCAGTGAACTTGAGAGTATAAGAATGTCCCATAAGCATTCTTGGGCGGAGCCCTCTTGTTTTGTACTTGCGGAGGATGAACCATCAGATCTTTATGCTGTTCCAATTAGCCCATAGTGCTTATTACATGGGATCATGTATAATGCCACACATGAAGGGATGCAAGAATACGAACATAATGTTACCCGGCCCACATGAAAAAATTCCAATAATCTAGCAGGCTTTGGCTGTTTGAAGTTTCATATATAATCGAACTTCAATGTTTTGTCTTAATATATGCAATTTCTTTTGGTTTTGCTTCCTTTTCCAATTATTATGCATTTAATAGTTTGTTTTCCCAGTTCTATGTAGACTCCTATTTAAGACAAAACATCCTACATAACGGCTCTGTTTGGCGGAGCTTTTAGCTTATTTTAAATTACTAATAAGCTATAAGTTGTGTTTGGTAATGTTCCCAAAATAAATTTCCTTATTTAGGAGCTTATAGACCCTGTTTGGTAAATGGCTGTTAGCTGATTGTGTTAATTAGAGGGTATAAATATTTGATAACATTAGTTGATTGTAGAAAAGTGTTTGGTAAATTAGCTATTAGCTGATAGTTGTTTGGTATAATTTATTTTCTCAAAAAGCTAATTGAAAAAGTTGCTTAGAGTAGCATTTTGAATTTTAGCCTTTTGGAGTTGCAAAAAGCTAATTAATCAAACATTTATATTGATATTTTAACTAAATCAAACAATTAATAGTGGTCAAATAAGCCAAAATTGGCCTATAGGCCAATTTTTTACCAAACAGGGCCATAGCTTATTTTAAACTACTAATAAGCTATAAGCTGTGTTTGGTAATGTTCCCACAAAAAACTCATAGCTTAAAATAAACTAATAAGCTCCTAAATAAGATCTGACAAATAGAGCTGAACGAGTCTAGCTTGTATTTTGATTTTAAAATATTGGAATAAGGGTTAAATAAACCATTGAACTGCACACGATAATGTAATTAGGCATATGAAACCGAAAAAACCAACAATTATATTGAGCCCTAAACTAACAAATTTCATGCAATTAGTCTAATTTACAGATTTTTCAGGTTAATAACAGGAGAGGAAGATGGTTCTTCGTTTCCTCCGCCATGGAGATGAAGAGGTCTCTTCGTCGCCTCCAACATGGAGACGAAGAACCCTTCGTCTCCGGCAACCTAGAGACGAAGAGCCCCCCCCCCCCCCCCCCCCCCCCCCCCCCTTTTTTTTTTTTAAATCTTGTTATTTAGAATTATTTAAATAAAATAAAAAAATTATTATTGTCATTTTGTGTTGTTTCAGAATCCAATTGCATGTTTTTTGAGTCAATGACCTAATTACATTTTAGTATGTAGTTCGATGACCTATTTAACGCTTAATCCAAGATATAATAATGATTGAATATAATAGATTTTAAGTCCATAGTCAAAATTGTAAAAATAAATTCCAACAATCTATTATAAGTACACATGGGACTACGCATAACAGATTGGCTTATAAAATGTAAAATGAAATGGTGATGAATATAATATAGTCACGACACAAGTTCCGCATTATCATCTCGCCTTCAGCTCTCCTTTTAGGAGTAACCAAAATGGCAAAATCTATCTTAACAGATTTAAAGAGCATTATGAATGATATTCATTGTCAATGTGTCAAACACATTGACAACTCTATGCCTCTCGTTACAGGATTGAACCTTTATCTCGTAAAATGTGGTTTTGAACATTAAGCTACTTTAAATTTATGAACATTACCTAAGTCTGAACATCAAACTTAAAATTTTTGAACATGTATAAGACATGTTATGAACATGTAACAGAGTGAATGATGTAATGAATTTTGTACATTATGAACATAAATTTGGTAACTTATAAAGTTAAATTATGTGTGTATTGTGGACCAGGGTCCACGATATAATTTGCCAAGATATATAAGGTGGGTCTTAAAAATAAGGCTAAAAGCTTTCAACCCAATGAAAGTAAGGCGATAACTCCGAAAGAGCAACTCATTATTTCACGGCTAATTATATTGTGGATCGCGGTCCACAATGCATTGTGGTTCAGACATTAAATATAGACTGTAATTTCATGTCAACACAACTACAGTATCATTTTAATATAATTATGTTTTCGGTGGATAACATATACTTAAATATGTAAAATTGTTATTCAATTTCATTTTATATACACTACAGTTTCATTTCAATTCAATTGCAATTTTATTTAATAATATAATAAAAATAATATGTAAGCCAGTGTCGGTTTAGATACACTATAATGTCTGCCCCTTCCGTATAATTGCTGATTATTTAACATTGAAGCACGTGTAAGCCCAAGTCGAAGAAAAGTATTTTAACACGTTCACCATTGCTCCGCTGTAAGATTAGAAATTCAGCAAAGAAGCAGAGGAGAGGGGCGGAGCCGGCGGGCGCGGACTGTGTTGCTTAGCTCCAGCAACACCTTAAAGACGGCGTTCAACTCCTCCTCCTTCTCCTTCTCCGCCCTCACTCTTGCTCAATGGCTCAAGAGAAGCAGAAAGGGGGGAAACACACCATTCCGCCCTACATGAAGGCCATTTCCGGATCTCTAGGGGGAATCATGGAGGCCAGCTGCTTGCAGCCCATTGATGTCATCAAGACTCGCCTTCAGCTCGACCGCTCCGGCACCTACAAGGGGATCGCTCACTGCGGCTCCACCATCGTCAAGAACGAAGGCGTCCGGGCTCTCTGGAAGGGCTTGACCCCCTTCGCCACTCATCTCACTCTCAAATACGCGCTTCGGATGGGATCCAACGCCGTCCTGCAGTCCGCCTTCAAGGACTCCCAGACCGGGAATCTCAGTCCCTACGGGAGGCTTCTATCCGGCTTCGGAGCTGGCGTCCTCGAAGCTCTCGTCATCGTCACTCCTTTCGAGGTTCGTTTCCCATTTCTATCAATTTTCGGTCTATTGCTTCATTTCTACATTCTTCTGAACTACTGTAAATTTTAGCAATTTTCAATTTGATTTTGATGCCTTTGGATTGAATTATTTTTTGTTTTATAATTTCTATCTTGTGAATCCTGTGGCCTTCGGCTTTCTGTTGCGAAATCCTTATTAAAATGTAGAGGTTAATAGATCACTGTTTTTAGATTAAAAAAATTTGAGTTGGTGGGGGCTTTAGGAAAAAGTGTTGTTTTTCTCTTATAGTTATAGTCAAGAGCCTATTGAAGAACTTTAGAAATCTATTTAATTATAAGATTATTAAAATGTTTTTTCCTGTTCTTGAGTTCTCAGTAGACCAATATCTGGAAGCTCTGAACAGAAGTTTAGATGAAATGAATGATACCAGGGAGCATTTCAACAGCAAATGTGCCTCAAGTTGATGTTCTTAGTTTGAAATCTTGTAAATTTCAGTCTAATGTGAAATTCAGCATTCTTTGACTAACTATATGATTGAAGAGGGAAATTCACTTTGTAAGATAGCGGAAACTGGAAAGTTGTATTGATTACGGAGTACTTCTCTATTATTGATTGCAAGATTATCATTACTAAAGAACCTTCTTTTATCATCGTAGCTGCAAATTAAGCTTTTATTTGAATCTCTTGCTTCTATCTCAAGTCTCTCAAGTTGCATGTCTATTTAGTCTTTCATTTTAGATGTAGTTTGATTTGCTGGTCTTTTGGTTCTGATCATTGCGGCCCTAAGTCACATCTCTATTGTGTCTAAGGTCGATAGCTCAGCTAGTTATGTTGATGCAGGTGGTGAAAATCCGACTACAACAGCAGAGAGGTTTAAGCCCTGAGCTCCTGAAGTACAAGGGGCCTATACACTGTGCCCGAATGATTGTTCGTGAAGACGGGATTCGTGGTCTGTGGGCTGGGGCTTCCCCAACAGTTATGCGAAATGGGACCAACCAGGCGGCCATGTTCACAGCCAAGAATGCATTTGATACAGTATTGTGGAAGAAACATGAAGGTGATGGGAATGTCCTTCAGCCATGGCAGTCTATGATTTCCGGTTTCCTTGCAGGGACAGCTGGTCCTATATGCACTGGACCTTTCGACGTCGTGAAAACGAGGCTGATGGCTCAAAGCCGATCAGGGGGTGATTTGAAGTACAGAGGAATGTTTCATGCCATCTCAACTATATACACCGAAGAAGGTATACGTGCTTTGTGGAAGGGGTTACTTCCCCGGCTTATGAGGATCCCGCCTGGACAGGCCATTGTGTGGGCTGTTTCTGACCAAGTGATTGGTTTGTATGAGAGAAGACATATACAAAACGCTGCGCTATAGCCTATAGGTAGCTCGACAATTACTCCACATTTCTCCTCTTTTTCTTGTGGATTGTAGTTCCATTCTTTGGCAAAAGCGTGCTAGCTGTTTTGGCCACTTTAGATTCCCTTAAATTAGTGGTAATGTCGAGTGAGGGACAGTTCTCTTGTCCCTGGCAAAATGGTATGTGACTAGGCTGCACTGAGACTTCCTAAGTTTTGCTTGGAGCACCTGTTTCTTAGAGGCTCAATAGAAGACTATAGGATTGCTGTATTGTTTGTTTTTTAAATCAACAATAAGAAATTTTGTTCGAAACAATGAGGTGGAGTTTAAACAACAATAAAACACAGCTGAGACAACTTCAGCTAAGTTGGTTGGATGATTGATTGATTTGATAATCATACACTTTGTGTGATATAAGAATAATCTCAGTTAAAGGTGTGTTTAAAAATCTGGAAAATGATTTCTGCCAGGTTTGTTTGGTTAGAGAGGAAAAATGGAAGTCGAGAAAATTTCATTTTGGTCCACTGACTATTGGGGTTGTGTTAATTGCAACACTTGACTTTCAAAAATGTTTATTAGTACCTTGACTATGCAATTTCTATCAATTTTGATCACGCCGGCCAAATTGCCGGCCAAATTTCACCGGAAAAATTTAATAAGTCAATTTATGAGGGTATTTTAGTAATTTTACTCCTCTTTTTTCTTCTCCAATGATATTCCCAATTTCCGGGGCGATGACTTCTTTCTTCTCCGATGTGCAAGATTGTCTTCGCCATCTATCGCAACATCCTCGCTTTCATCCTCCTCCTCCCCTTCAATTCAATCCTCTCATCTTCTTCTGCTTAATTCTTTCACTACCTCAACCAGAAGAAGAATGAACATATCAGGCTCTCAATACAGCAGCGGCTGCGAATCCGGGTGGACAATGTATTTGGACCAACACACCAACAACTCTGCAGATCAATACAACAGTAATCCCACCGCCGGCGCCAGAGTTTACACCGGGAAGGTGGCGTTTTCCGGTGAAGATGAGGACTTGTCTATGGTCTCTGATGCATCCTCAGGGCCGC